GGGACAAGGACTTGGGAAGGTCTTAAGAGGGGAATGGAGACAAAGGAAGAGGGCTTGGGGCTGCCGACTTCACAAGGGACCAGTCATGGAGGCGAGCTCGGACGGCGTTGGACGCTGGCGCGGGGAAAGTGCGGGCACTACGTCGAGTGGCGGACTCGACAAACGGACCGGACAGCGACCCTGGACGACGACGTCCATGACGCGGTGTGGACGACCACCGCTGGGACTCGGAGAAGCTGCTCGGGCAGCGGACTCTCCCCCGGCCTCGCTGATGACTGTCCCCCGATCCGTAAACCCCCCAAGACAATGAGTGAGTGATTAAACCCATTTGCCGAGAGCGAAGTATTGCAGTGTCATATTCATCCGGAGACAGGGTTTGTCGGAATCGGAGCTAGAAGAAGCCCGTACATGCAACGCGCACGCAAAGCTTGCATGCAAAGCGTTGCATGCAAGCGGCGTAACCGCGCGTTGCATAATGAGCAGTTTTCCATAATGACGTCACGAGGGTTACCCTCGTAAGTGTTACGAGGGCTACTCTCACGAGGGTCATGAGGTTACCCTCACGAGGAACACGAGGGCTACCCTCAGGAGGGTCACGAGCGTTACCCTGACGAGGGTTGCGAGGGTTAGTTACCCTAAATAGGGTTACACTCACGAGGGTCACGAGGGTTACTCTCACGAGGGTCACGAGGGTACGTGACCCTTGAGAGGGTGTGAAGAAACTAAATGTTCAATGGGGCGAACTTGTGCCCAAAACAAAAATAGAGAAAGGCTAGCGTCGCAGGCGTTGATGTCTGCAAAACAGCAGGATGGAGCATTGGGCGAGACTGACTGCGGCTCGCCACGCGGAGCCCTTTATGTACATGCGTGGACTTCTGGAATAATCAGCGTAGAAGTTTCGACATGTAGAGAAAATTTAGGCCTCGAACAAGCAACACGATTTTCGAATATACCAGAACACTAAATTGCAGAAATAACAAAAGATGCGTCGCTCCCAGGAATCGAACACTGCCTTTTCGCGTGGGAGGCAGGCACAATAACCGTTAGGCTACGCGCGCTTTTTTTTTTTTTTTTTTTTTCTTTATTGCCGGGAAAAAGAACACACTCATAGGCACACTAGAACATACACGAGAAACAAATGGCCCGCCTTGCTATGGCAAGCGTCCTGGGGTTTAAATTTTTCGCATGGTTACGAGTACTTCAATTTGCGGAAGCCACTCGGGAACACTTTCACGAGCCTTGACGAGTTCAAGAAAACAAATAATGCTCTCACGGAAGTACTCCTGTGCTTCTCGTGCGTCACCGTCAGCGCGGCGCAAGGCCATCCGCGACCTCCAAATTCCGTGCAGACACAGTAGCATCACAAGATCAAACGGGACGCCATCATCGTTCTCCACAGATAGATACCTGATCCCGTGGGGCTCGAGCGGTAACTCTTTTTTCAATGTGCGCTGGAGGACGTCCCACCAAAAGACGCCATCCCAGTACTCTAGGAAGACATGTTCAATGGTCTCCGGTTTCTTACAAAGAAAACAGTGAGAGCCCCACGGGACTAAGAGGCCCTTATCCTCCATCCACGTTTTCACCGGTAGAGTACCGGAGTGCAATTTAAAGAAAAACGTTTTAACACCGGGTGGCGCTAGCATTCTTTTCACCCTTTTTAAAACGTCCTGACCCGGGCCAGCGGAGCACAGAGCTCTGTACATAGGAACAGGAAAAACAATGTCGCAAACATCTTTGTACAATCTTTTGCGTGTCACTTCACTCAAATATCCGTGAGAAAAACGAGTTAATAAAAAACGGCATGACATCACCACTTCTTTAAAGTACCCATGTATACCCCCAGGCAAGTAGGACGAAGAAATCACAAACTCGGGCCCGGCCCAGCCTTACTTGAAAAACAGTGCGTAAAAAAGGATCGCCAGCATCTTGAAAAAAAAGAAAACGGTTTACTACTTGACGCAAAAAAGGTGCGACAAGCTGAGTCCGCCCTCGCGGACGCGCCGGAAAAGGTTCATTCTGCTCGTTTTCTCTCACGACGAGCCCCAAATAAAAACTGCAAAAACACGGTGAAGTTTCTGCACGTTCACTCTAGAACAATGCAACACTTGCATTACGTACCGCAGCTTGCTTACAAGAAACAAATTGCAAACTGTGGTGCGCGCGAAAATAGAAAAACCCCAACCACTCCATTTCTCGGCTTGTCGCGGAGTTCACCAACTTGACTACGCCAGTAAGGCTCGCTATCGCGGTAATATTCGAGAGGTACACCCAAATACTTAGTAGGGGTGGATACCCACCTTATATTCGCAAACATGCTTAGTGTTACACCCCAGTCCCCGTGCCAGAAACCAAGACATTTGTCCCAGTTAACGGCACTTCCACTAACACCGCAAAAGCGCTTAACAGTGTCCACTGCTTCGACGACGCTTTCTAGGTTGGCACAGAACATAGCAATATCGTCCGCATAAGCCAGTACACGGACTTCGGATGAATTTAGTCTAAAGCCACTTATTTTACTATTTTTTATGATACTTAAACAAAATGATTCTATGTAAATGCAGAAAAGCAATGGTGACAATGGGCATCCTTGGCAGACAGATCGCTGTACATGAACACGCTTCCCTACCGACTTATTTACTATTAGCCTAGTAGTACAACCACTGTACGCCATGCGCACACCCTCCCGTATAACTGATCCGACGTTGATATGATCCAAAACAGATAAAAATACATCATGTGAACCCGATCGAAAGCTTTCTCCAAATCTACATGCAACATGGCTACGCAACTCTGCATGGCATCGCAACACTCTAAGACGCTCCGCGCTTTATGAATATTAGTAAAAATAGTTCTTCCCTTTATTCCGCAGGTTTGATGAGAACCAACAATTCTAGTTATGACGCTTTGCAGCCTGCTGGCCAAGATCTTCATCAGTATTTTGTAATCAACATTAATTAGACTTATGGGTCGATGGGATGCAACATGCCGAAGTTTAACTGCGTCTTGCGTTTTAGGAATGAGGACGGTATGAGACGTTAAGAAGGAAGGCGGAAGAATGTTAAGGTCGAAAGCTTCGTTGAAGACATTTGCTAAAAAAGAAGACAATATATTTTTGAAAGCTTTATAAAACCCTGCACTTAGTCCGTCCGGCCCCGGGGACTTCCCGGGGTTCGAAGCTTCTATTGTCGTCTTAACGTCCTCGCACGTGATGGGACCTTCTAAAGCTGATTTTGTTGTATCGTCTAAACGCGGCATGCGAAACAAAAATTCACTTTTAAACCCCTCAACATTAACGGGATTGTAAGAAAATAACGTGCTGTAATAATCGAAAAAAGCCCTCTCGATTTCCACACTGTCGCTTGTGACTGTCCCGTCCTTTTCAATTTCTGCAATTTCATTACGACGTGCATGCTTTTTTTCCATGCCCAGGGCTCGCTTAGTAGGCGCTTCACCCGCTATCAGCCTGACGGCTCTAGCTCGTATCAGGGCACCGCGATAACGTTCCCTATCTAGCAACTCGAGTTTTTCTTTCAAAGATAAAATATCGTCCTTGAACGCACCCGGCAATCTGCATTCCTCTTCCACCATCGCCTGCAAGTTTGAGCGCATTAACTTCTCATTTTTCTTTTCTTCATACTTAATTGCACCAGCTCTTTCCAGGGCAGTCATCTTGATGGCTTGCTTAAATACTTCTCATTTATGGCCATACGCAAATGATTTGTCTTCATTTTTCATTTGTTCTACCGCAGCTTGAACTCGATCCATAAAGTTTTCATCTTTCAGAAGCTTTGCGTTTAATTTCCATAGTTCCCAAATTAACACTTTTTTCGATTCATTTTTACTGCGAATAGAAAACTCAACTAGGCAATGGTCGCTGAATGATATAGGACACACCCGATAATGGCGACAAAGGGGTATTAAATCTAACGACAGATACGCTCGGTCTAAACGGGCGTGACTGACCCCTTGAAAGTGGGTAAAATTTACGACTCGCCCGTTGCGTAAACAGTCGCCAACATCCTCTAAGCCGAATTCAATAATTAAATTATTTAAACATACTGTACTTGAATCAACATAAGGTGTAGGGCTTGTTTTGTCGCTAGCCGAGCATACGCAATTAAAATCTCCAAGTAAAATAACTAGTAGCTGGCAGTTACAATAGTATCGTACGCCCTCGAGAAATGCCCTTCTCTCCTCAACTCGGGTAGGCGCGTACAAACAGATTACCCGCCATTCAAGGGAAGAAAAATCACACACCACGAGACGTCCCGAGACACAAGTGGTGACGGACTGTCCAACTGCCCCTATGCTCTGGCGTACCAACAGGACACACCCCGCCGAAGTCCCTACGGCGTGGCTCACGCAAACGTCGTAACGGGTCGTGAACGGCCGCACCATGCGCTCGGTCTGGTCCTCCCCATCGACCTTGGTCTCCTGAAGCGCGACAATGTCGAGGTTGTGCTCAACTACAAGGCGGTATAATTGCCGTTGCTTCCTACGGTCCTCGAGCCCTCGTACGTTGAGAGTCGCTAGTCGGACAGGCTTTTCGATAGAGACCATGGGTTAAAAGACCCAGACCAAGCGCACGGTGCTTACCTTCGCAGGTCGACATCGCACGGGGCCGCCCTCCGTCGCACCAGTTCACGGTGTCAGCTTGTCACGGCGCCTCGACGCCGAAGATCGAGGCTTCGTTAGGCTACGCGCTCGCTGCCTACTTGGCCAGCTGCGCGCGCGGCAATATCGTGTAGTCGTCATGCAACTATATATACATTGAAATATGTAAATCAAAACAATACCCATATTAGTGTTTGCAAAGCGAAGAATGAAAACAACAATAATATTATTTCTGAATAAAGCATGCATATTTACTTCAAACAAATGTTGGAGACGCCTAGTATATGGGAGCCATATTACATCAAATGGACACATTTGTACATAAATAATTATGTATTTATTTTCTTGTATTACATAAGGAGAGAATATAGATTAACTGAAGGGTCATCTGCAGACAATGACTTTTTTGGCGTTATTGATTCTTCGAAATGTGTTTATTCGTAAACATAATCTACAAAAAGAAAACAAACAGTAACGTGTTTACATTGTGACATAATTAGACAAAATAGTACTTGATAACAACTATAAAAACTATGTATTTTAGTTAATTTTGACATTTCGTTGAGGTGTTTGAGGCTTGTCTAAGTGAGGTATTTTTATTACTGAACTGTAAAGAAAGAGTTTGTTCAATAGAAAACACTAAAACGATATTATGTACCACAGGCACAGCCCAAATGGTGTGTGTCGGTATGAAAGCAAGAATAACCGGTAACACATTTGCAACTCTCCCCGCTTATAAAACTTCTACCGATTCGTATTTTTCAATGCATATTCAATACCTCCTTGATTATTAAATTACGGAAGGTTCAACTCCTGACATTTTTTTCTAGTACTTCTCTTTTAAGAACCATCAAAAATTGTGTTATTGTCCCTTAATACGATGAAATATTTTTTAAAGTAGAGGTGTTTTAACTGAATTAACTGGAATGTCTATAAAAAGTCAAAATAAGTACATTAAAGTTTTGTTTGACATTTAGTTGCAACTTTCAACGAAAGTTCGGACACCCTGTCTAGAGAAAGCAATTTCGAATATACAATTGAAAATCGCGCTTTAACGATAATTTTAAAAGGCGCATATTCGGTTGATTAAAAACGCCTTTGGAACTTAATGTAAGTATCCTTTTGGTTTTGATTTTAAATGGCCTTTTATAACAGGACTATATATTGTTGGGAGCCTATAATCTTGACAAATTTTCGCGAAACGCCAGTTATGTTAATACAGAATAAGTTCAAGTTAATAGTTTTGTTGGCATGTTAATCATTTGGGTACCTTTAAGATAACAAAATGGTTAAGTACTAATTAAATACAAAATTATGTTAACAAATATGTATAGGTATATTTGGTTGAAAACTAAATCACAAAAAAAAATGCATAGAATAGTTTTTTCATACCCTTGTAAATGGGAAGGACGTAGTAGTAGTCATAATCAGCCTCCGAATTTTTGTACTGTATGTTACATGTACTGAAATGAATTATTAAGAGATAGTAAACCACGCAATTATCTGCATTAGTATAGCCTCCACAATATGAGATATGATAAATACCCCAAGTTAGCGGCTTCACTGCGCTGCCGGCCTTAATCAGTTTTATAAATTATTAATACAAATATTTACATATTCACAGTTACAACTTCCCAAATAAACCATACCTAGTAGCTGAAAAGAGAAGCAACAACAAGCACGCTATTATATGACATGTGACATAAAACTTATTCCCCTCGTTAAATCCAAGACTTCAAATTTTATATAGGTATTTACAATCTACTGAAAAAGAAGAGTCGCAGCAAATCTCACTTCCTATTAACACAGTGTCATATGTCTTGTATAAACTATAGGTGACTTCATGCTCAATTATTAGGTATACCTAATATGCACATTTGCTCTCAGCTATCATCGTCATGTCAGTCGGTGCGTTTTTTATGCTAGGTTTTGTGGATCAAAAACTTGCTTTAACATCTCTTTTCACAATACTTGCAACGTGTATTTCTAGCATCAATTGTTTTCTTGTTTTGTTAGAATATGCAAATAAAATAAAAGTGGCTGCGAGCTTGTGTATAATAAACTATTACCAAAGCAAACATATTTCTTCATGAAGATGTATTATAACCCATTTTGATGGGAATCCCATTGTTTCTTCTTTTATGAAATATTGATATTGCTTACTGTGTGCGGGATGTAAAAATACACACGCACGAAGAATGAATCGAATGTAATAGTGCTGCCGCTGTTATTTGTGCAAACAAAGTGTTCATCGGGGAGCAAAGCAAGTATTACAGCGAAAAAAGTCACTGTTCGTTACACGCCGCCAAAATTGCTCGAGATAGTACAGCTGAGTCCTCGACACAACTTTACCATGCAAGAAGACGAGGAGATTGCGCTAAGTTCTAAATGGAAGACAAAAGAAACTGGCCCACTCTAAAAAAAGTCTGTGAGCCTACTTTCCCGCACAACACTCGGAGAGCCAATCAGCGCAACGTACGGAGGCAGCTCAGCGAGTGACGATGCCGAAACATATGTTTACACCAAAAAAAAACGCAGTCTGACTTGTGACATTAAGCAACGCAAAACGTCACGCTCGCATTGCTTAATGTCACAACTCAGACTGCGTTTTTTGGTCTAAACATATGTTTCGGCATTGTCATTCGCCGAGCTGCCTCCGTAAGTTGCGCTGATTGGTTCTCCGAGTGTTGCGCGTGAAAGTAGACGCACAGACGTTTCTTAGAGTGTGGCACTACGTGGAGCGAGGTTTCGTCTGCTTCTTGCGCAGGGGTTTCAGTGGCGTCAAAACGGCGAGACCTGACTGACTTTGATTGGAAGGATAGTGGGTAGACCTCAATCCTAGCTGCATGACAAGCTTCCTTGAGGTCTACCCACATACTTCTAAGCAGAGCCAATCAGAAATCGCAGTTCTGACGTCACCACAACCCCTGGGCAAGGAGCAGACGAACATGCGCTTCGCATAGCAGAGCAGTACAAAAGAAGTCAACCAAAGTCGGACTGATAAATGTGTGAAGCAAGATAAAAGGAATCTTTAAAAAACATTCGAGCGCTATTCCACTAATGAATACAGAAGTTGAATTTGAGTGAAAAACAAGGCGAGAAGTATTTCGAGTTAATTAGTAGACGTACATCACTAGTTACCTTTACTAAATCGCCACTTTTTTACCGTAATTAAGTGAAGAAACAAATGAGCTCTAAATAATACATTAGGGTCCTTTTTTATGCTTTGGAGTAAAATCTACACCAGGTGCGTTAGAAAGTCGTGATCAGAAACTAAGAGGGCGTCTCCAGTTATTAATATTGATTACTTACTCCAACAACAGATTTCGTTGATTCTTGTTCAGGCTCTTCCAGTTAGAAGGAAGGCTGTAAGATCAAAATGCTTTTGAGTCATATTCATTTAACGTGACTATTGCGTCTGTTTAAATAATGACAAACTGTCTCGTGGACTATAATAATCACGTGGCAAGTATTAGTCGCGGTTGAGTAAGCATTCGGTATTCGTCGACCGCATGAAGGGCTTAGTTGCCCCGAGCGAATTAGAACGCTATCAACAAATATTAATCAAGCGTTGTGGCTAGTTTAGCCAGTGTTCAGCGAGTGATTAGCTGCTCAGCGCCATGGACAACTCCCATTATTGCCGACAGTCAGAGCTAACGAAGCACTTACGGTGTTGAAACACCAGTGGACCCAACAAGAAAAAGGATTGTAGCACCAAACATAGGAGAAATGCACATACTGATCAAGCTTCAGCGCACGAGTCACTTATCTTTTCCAGTCAGCTTCGCTTCTTACTCCTGAATAGATAATAACCCTTTAGCGCCGACCAAGTATGTGCTCTCAAATATTATTTTTTCGGTAACTTTATAATCGCTACTTATTCGTTTAGCAAGCGATTATTTGATGCGCTACTAACTTTGAAACGCTTCAGCCACGCCTGGTGAATACAGCTGCTATTGTCACTAGACGTCGAAGCATTGTAGAAGGTAGGAAGCTTGTGCTGATGGAGGGATAACTGAAGCTGCTCCCTGTTGTTCTCCCCTTGTCTGTGATTATAGTGTTTACACCAGTTAGCTTAACCAACTAGTGCATTTATAAAGACGAAAATCTTGCCTACATTTTTTGTTTTAAATTATAAACCAACCTTCAAGTGAAAATAAGCTAAAAATTACAGCTTTGTGTAAATCATCGCTTCTTTAGTGACGGAGAAGAGAAGCCAGCTAGTCGTATTTACAAAGGGTTCCTTCGAAAAATAAAATAAAAATACATGACGTACATAGTATACGCTTTATATTACAACACTCATTTTGAAATAGTTTAACGTGTGTTTTATAATTATAACAAATATTTTTGCTGGCCGGGTGCAGCAAGCAGCGCCCGCTCCTGAAATTCTAGAAGATTAGAGCTTACTCTACCTCAGGACGTAACTTTTATCATTTCGTCTTAGGTTCTTATTCTCTAAAGTTCCCGTTTATTCTCCCCCCCCCAACACTCAATGCTCGAACTTTCGGGGCCGAAGTTTGGCGGTGCCGACGAGCAGCCCATGACCTTCTCGAGTCAGAAGAATAAACGCGAATCTTCTAGAATTTCGTGACCGGGCGCCGCTTGCTCGGCCCTGCTCGCGGCATTATCTCGCCGTCGATGATCCCCCCCCCCCCCCCCCCATCAACCTCAGTGCACGGAATGACGAAAGCTAAGGTACCTTTTTGCCGAATAAAGCGACTGCTTTGCGACGACGACGAAAGTGCGCCAAAAACACTTGCGAAACATCGCATCCTTACCAACGACAATGCGTTCCCTGTGCGTAGACCGCCCTATCGAGTCTCCCCTAAAACAAAAAGAGGCGATTCATGAACACGCGTGGGCCTCTCCAGTCGTGCTGGTGAAAAAGAAGGACGGAACACTTCGATTCTGCATAGATTGCCGGCGGCTCAACGCGGTGACGAAGAAAGACGTGTATCCGCTCCACGGCATCGACAACCCCCTGCACCGGCTGCGCCACTCCCGATACTTCTCGTCGATGGACTTGAAGAGTGGCTACTGGCAGATCGAAGTTGACGAACGGGACCAAGAGAAGACTGCTTTTGTCACGACCAATGGACTGCACGAGTTCAAGGTGATGCCCTTCGGACTGTGCATGGCGCCAGCAAATTTCCAGCGTGTCATGGACACCGTACTGGCAGGTCTCAAGTGGTAGAGCTGTATCATTTACCTTGACGACGTTGTGGTATTCTCATCCAAATTCGACGATCACTTTCGACGCCTTCGGGCCGTTCTTCAGGCAATCAAGACCGCCGGACTGACGCTCAAGCCGACGAAGTGCTGGTTCGCCTACGGGGAACCGAAGTTTCTAGGCCACGTTGTGAGCAACGAATGTGTTCGTCCTGACCTTGAGAAGACTCGCGCCGTAGCGGCATTTCAACCGCCCACCGAAAAGAAGGCCTTCCGAAAATTCCTTAGACTTTGCGCGTACTACCAGCGATTCGTTCGGGATTTCAAAATAATTTCTGCGCCGCTCACGCGCCTCATGAATGACGCCATAAACTTTGAATGGGGTGGAGAATAAGAACAGGCGCTCGGCAAGCTAAAGCGACGACTCCAGTCGCCGCCGATTCTCCGCCACTTCGACCAATCAGCCGAAATGGAAGTTCACACGGACGCCAACAATACAGGACTTGGAGCGGTGCTGGTTGAGCGACAAGAGGGTGCAGAGCGCGTGATCGCATACGCTAGTTGGACGCTGTCGAACGTAGAGAGCGATTACTAGTCGACCGAGTAGGAATCTCTGACCGTCGCCTGGGCCAACACATTATTCCGCCCGTACTTGGACGTGAGTGATTTTCGAGTGGTCACCGATAACACCACTCTCCGCGCTGGTTAGCGAGCCTGACTAGAGAAGGTCACTGGCAGCTCCTTATCTAGTCTGCGTCGGCACCGCGAATATTAAGCCCGGAAGGTTCAAACATCGAGCGTTCAAGCGAGAACGAACAGGCATTTTCTAGAACAAGAAACTAAGATGAAATGATAAAAGTTATGCCCTGAGTAAGAATAAACGCGAATCTCCTTGAATTTCGTTACCGCGGGCGGGCTTGCTCGGCCCTGAGCGCAGCAAAATTTGTATCAGAATCGCCTTGTGTGATATTGCGCCATAAAAGTCATTTATATTGTCAATAATACGAAGTAACAAAACGATGCATAACTGAGAAACCTAAAATTTAATCGGGCGCGCTTGTTCCAAAAACAAATGGAATTACTGGTATCCCGGGAGTCCATGTTGGCATAGCCGTGCGTTCAAGCGCTAGAGAAAAGATTCCTCGATGCAGCGCGCTGCGGATGCTTTTATGCACACCCTATTATACTCAAGAAGGTTGTAAACTAAAACACACGATGACTGTGCAAAGACACTGAAACATTCTAGTGAAGTAACAAACAGAAAAACAAAACTAGACTAGCAAACAAGGGTTATCCACGTGAGAGCCGCGTGTGCAGTCAACTTGGACGCGCACAATTTTCTTCTTCTTTATTGCACTTGGTACTCCTATCAAAGCCGAATCATTTAAGGGCAAATCAAGCAAACAAAAACTGCAACAACAGTAGTTGTTTTCTTGCATCATGCAGGTTGCGACAAAATGAAGGTCGCATTTTAGTCGGGCAGCCCCTCGAAGTTAAGACCCTTGAGGTAGCGAAGTTCTGTAAAATTCAAAATAGTGTTTCAGAGGTTTCTCTCTCAGACTGGAGCGCCAAAAACAGACTCCAAACTGACACGCGTTTCTCGTACTAAAAGTGAACGTTTCGACAAGAAAACATTGTAATATGAGAGTGGAAATTGTTTTGAACTTGGATTCTGTCCTTTGCAACATGTCGGACTTCCCTCGCGCGTTGAGAAATCAATTGTTCATCGTGGTTGGCGTCGTCGATCGGCTTGCGCGGTAGCATTGCGTCGAGCATCGTGGTTACTCTCCTACCGCGAACCAGCTGTAACGGCGTCATTCCAGTAGTTTCCTAAACAACCGTGTTGTTCGCGAAAGGTAACCTACGGCACCATTTCATATCACGCATTGTGCTCTACGACTATTTGCACCGCAATTATGTCAGGGATCGTCTTGTTTAGTCCCCCAGTCAATCGTTTAGACTGCGATTAGTTTGCGGTTGTCCCTCAATTGCCGGTGTGGCTCAAATGAAGAACCTATTGCCTGTTCTGAGCCATGCAATCTAAAAAAGGCTGTAGCCACGACACCCCTTGTCGCAATACATCCGCAAACTTTAGTACAGCCGCCTCGGTGGCTCCGAGGCGAGAGCTCCGGCCTGCTGATCCCCAGGCAGCGGGTTCGAATCCCGGCCAAGGTGCCCGCAATACGACGGAGGCTTATTGCGGAGAAGGCGTCGTGTAACCGAGCTTTCGGTTGCACCTCAAAAGATCCCCAGGTGGTCCAAATTAATCCTCAGTCCTCTGCTGGGGCGTGCCAGATGCCCGTCGTACGTTTGGCACGTAAAACCCCCAAATTTGACTTTTTTGCAAACTTGAGTTTGACGTACAAAGCACTGACGTCGAAATGACGGCCCTAACATTTATGAAATATAATATCTCGGCGTACAACATTCCCCTAACCTATCATGGAACCTTCATTTTGAGGGTACCATTAGCAAAGCGTCTAAAACTCTAGGATTTCTTTAACGTTCCTTCTACCTGGCTAAAAAAAAAGCAACTAAACTTCTTGCGTAAACCTCTCTCCTAAGATCAGAGTTGAAGTACGCGTCCATTAATTGGCACCCTTATCACATCTATTTAACCAGTAATATTGGGGCATTTGAAAATAAAGCCGCCAGGTTCGTAGCTAAGGATTACTCCCGATATTCAAGTGTGACTAACAAAAAACATTCGCTCAACCTTTCGCCACTTCATTGTCGAAGTCATATTGCGCGCATGTCCTTCTTCCATAAGCTATGCCATGGTTCATCTGCTTTCAGAGATTCATACATTCAGCCCCCTCATCATGTCTCAACCCGCTTAGATCACCCCTTCAAAGTACACCCCGTTTTTGCTCGCAACAACCTGTTCAAAAATTTTCCTCTCCTCTTCACTGTCTCCGATTGGAACAGCCTACCCAGAGATATTGTGTCGATCACCTCAGCCCAGAAGGTTACAAAGTCCCTAACCAATGTATAATAATGCATGTCGTTTTTGCTTGCCTAGTTTTCTGTAAGCGTTTTGTGTGTGTGTGTGTGTTTGTAAGTATATGTTGCGCTAACCTCATCATTTTTTTTGTCACTAAGTGCACTCACTACCTTTGTCGATAACCCCCCCCCCCCCCCCACACACACACACACACACACTTTGTGTAATGTCCGAAAGGGTCCTTAGAGTAAAAAAAAGTGTCGGTCGGTCAGTCCGTAGCCACTAAATGACGTTGAAGAAGAGGCAACCGGTGCCAGGGATCAAACCCCGGTTACCGGTGTCGAAACCGAGTGCGCTGCTCACGGAGCTATGGACTCAGCACGCTGGAGCGGGAGGACCAGAAACAAGGTTTGTGATAAAGCGCGAGGAGCGGAGATTGGTGGAAAGGGAAAGAAAAAGAGTAGCAGAAGCAGGTGGTGCAGAAAGAACACGGGAACGATGAGGAGTGGAAAAGGCAGAAAAGCGCGCTTCCCCACTTTAAAAACCGAGAAAATTCAACGCAAAGCATATGTACGAAAGAAAAGCGCGCCTAGCATCGCAAGGAGACAATAGTGTAACGTAATATGTTTTTATACAAAACCCTGCCCTAAGTACCAACTAAACTAAGAGCCCCACCCACCTCAGGCTCTGAAAAACTAAGGGTAATCTTGCCTTAGGCACTACCCACCTTATAAAGCTAACGGATTTAAACGTATTCGGCAGGATGATCAAATATGCAGTCACTTCTTTATTTCCGCCACTGCAGTCTCCATGACTCGAAGAAACTTTGCTGGTGCAGTGAAGTCACAATTCAATCACATTGAACTCGCAGAATGTTTTATAATAATGAAGGTTCTCTTCTCTCGGTCTCGCTTGTCTACTTCGATTCGCAAGCATACGCACTTCTGATTTACCTACTTAAAAGAACAAGAGTGGCGGAGTCCATTAAGGAAGGGCGTCGTCGATACAAGCGGTTAGTGTGCGTGAGGTGCTGGGTCCGTAGCTCCTGCGTGCTAAGTCCATAGCTCCGCCCTTTTTGGTAATCTTATTGAGTCGCTTGTAGTATACCTCAAACTTGCAGCATTATTTGACCTACACATCTGGGACAGCCGACAAGCTGTCGGAAGGCTGAATGAAGCCGTTGTTCAGCATCTCTTGTACCTGCTCCTGGATTACTTCCCTCTCTTTAACGAAAACCATAATACGTTTCTCGGACTGGGTACGCATCATCATTAGTGATTATTCGGTGTTTAGTGAGTGTCGTCTGGCGAACCCACGATGAAATCGTGAAGCAGTGAAGAAGCCGTGCAACTCGTTAATTCGCTTAATGAGCTCGTGCCTTTACTGTGATGACAGCTTCGGGTCAATGTCAATCTCCAATAGTAAAACCCTTTTCGTGTCCTGTACACAGGACGCTTCTGCAACTGCGATCTCTTCGGTTATGTTACTGAACGTTATTCCAAGAATAACGTTCCTCGACTATAGTTATATAGCACGATTCACATCAACGGATATGTCTCGCCCATGATTTCTGCGTGAGCACCATGCACCTGCCTATGGCGTTACTACATGACCACCGGCAGATTTGCTTTGTATACCATCCCACCGCATCGTCACCTTCCGAAAACATCAAAAGAGCTTCCCACATAAAACCGAATAATCCGCAGTGGTGTCGATGAGCGCCCTTTACGTCGTGGCCGTCGATGACAACCTTGAGATAGTTCGACACCGTTGCAGATTCGCCGCTCCGATGCGTGCTGTAGGCATGTAGCTCTCAAACTTAGAGAACGCCCATGAGGACAGAAATGGTATATTTTTTTCGGATACCTTCCGGTTGTGCGTTATCAGGCTTTTTCGTGTTGCTCGTGGATGCTAATTGGTAGATCTACAAAGGTGGATATAAATTTGTGAATAAAGAGCAAGAAAGCTACACGAAAAGCATTGTTAGAGTTTTAATATAACACTCAACGCACGACCTCTATTTTTTATTTTATATTTTTACATCGGAGCTGTTAAGGGCTCGTTTCCCCAGTATCGTGTCAGTCAGCAAACAAATGATGACACGAAACTTTGGACAGCTACCGTCATCTGAGAGCGACGGCGGCAACCAGACAAACGGTTTTCCGGTTCTCTGGTTGCCGCCGTCGCTCATAGATGGCGTAACCTCTCCAGCCTTTCCACTGTGGCTTGCCGACTTGCGACCGGCCATTACTTCATTCCCACCCTAGTGCAGCTTCGCTGGTCTTCTTTCTTCACCAGAGCGGAGAGGCTGAAACTTATTTAAAGGCATTGTTCTCGCGGATAGACGCATGCTGACACACACTAGTAAGATAACGTGGCTGGGCCATGATCGAATGCTGCGGTGCGACTTTATGCTCATTCCAAGCATTACATGGTCGGGTCTTACAAACGTGCTCGAAAACCCTGGCCGAAAAAAACAGCTTCGGTACATCCTCGGTGATTTTGGTTTATGGAGGTCCGCTTCTGTTCCTTCACATAAGTTTTGTTTATGGTTCTCTAAAAAATGCCTTGCCGCACCATCATGTGGAAGATAAATGCTCTGGAGCCGCTGTTTTCCTGGCCATGCTTTTTAGCGTGCCAAACGTTCATTTTGGTAGAGCTAGTCGTTAACATTCACGGCGGGCGACAGGCCTCAGGCAGGTTCAGGACAGAGTATACAACAAAAGGAGTTTGGTTTGGTCATGTCTGAGAGAAAAAATAAATCGAGTAGGCTTTTCCCTGAACGGGGCGGCTGGATCCAGTTTCTGGTTCCTCAAAGACTTATCTTCCTGCCTCACTTCAAACTAAACTTGGCTGACGTCGTTTCAATGCGTACGCTGCATTAAGTGCAACACCCGCACCTCCACCAGAATTCAGCGGATGACAAATGACAAAATGATGAATAACTTTAAAAAAATGGATTGAGCTTGTTTGAAAAGGTAATAATATACTAACTTGCTTCGTGGGTTTTGTGTCAGCGTGAAAGCGGGATCGAGCGTTCACGTAAGATTGCCTCGACGCAGCGCGCTTCAGCTACTCTGAATAAAGCCGTGCACTAGACCTTTTGTAATCTTCAATAGACAGAAGTCTAATTTGCGAAACGCCCTGCCTGTACTCTTACGAACTACTTATTTGGTTTAGATCACAAAACATATAACAACTGCCTGAGAAACATCACTCGCCAATTGCTGTCTTATGTTACAAAATAGTGATAACAAAAATTGAAACTCAGCATGCTTTCACGAAGTAATTTCTAAGAAATTTTCTGCTACAATGTTTTCAGCGCGATTACTTTAAAAATAAAATAAATAATTCTGATTAAATTGCAAAAATAAATTGCATACAACGGGATTCTAAAAAACACTGCTCCACTCTATTAAATTGGCTGCGCTGATTCAAATAGCTTTTTTGTAAAAGGCGTTACCGGAAAAAAATATATCATCATCACTGAATGTGTATCCGGCTTGGTGATATTAAATAAGGAAATAATCGTCACGTTGAGACTAATTATTATGCAATCTCTTGACTAATATTAGCCGACTCCAATAGGCATGCAGGCAATAAAGGCGGTATTCATCTACCGGTATCCTTTTTGTTTAAAAAAGATCCGCCAATTAAATTCGAACACCCTGTATGTTACAAGCTTTTGAAGTGTCATCATCATGAGTGAACCAGCTTTGTCGTAGAACCCGAGTTGATATAGTTTTGTTTTCACAATAAAGAAAATTGAACCAATAAAACAAGTGATCGTCATTTAGTAGAATGAAATTACGAGTGTTGATAAATCTCGTTTACTCACCTGTTTTTAATCATCCTAAATAAGAAATTGCCGCTTTTCTTAGTGTCCACTAACTTGTATTGCATAATAGCGGGAACGAGATCCTTGCACAGATCCTTGTGTTTTGAATAGCCTTGCCATAAAACAATGCAAAGGGTTATATTTGGCTTACTTATATGTTTTATGGCACTTCGTATTGACTAAGCGTTTTGTTGCGTCAGGCGCAAATTCGAAGTCTAGATAAGGATTTGCTTCAATCATTATATTTTAAAGTGAGCTCTAAAACAAAAAAAACAGGTAATTACGACGCCCTAGATACAAAACTGCGTTATCAACATTTCAGGTGTATTTAAAAAATATCCGGGCTGTGTAGGCGCCGAATAATTATAACGGCTTAACCAGGTATTTCATGTTGAAAACATACTATTAAACAAACTAGTGGCCTTTAATTTTGTTTGCATCAAAATATTAGACCAAAGGAATGCCTGTGCGTGCTTTTCATAGCTAGTAATAAAGAACAACTCACGCACTTGAGCACATGGATAGGTTGCAGTGCGGGAAAACAGGCCAAATATGTGTGCATAAAGTTAACCGCACAACACATTAAACACCTTAACACCCACAAAACGTTTAAACCTTAATCATATTTTTCACTAGAATTACGTTGTTACTTTTTAATAACGGTTTACCTTAACTAGATAGTTTCAGACTTCACTGTTAGTTCATAGATGGCAATTATAAAAATTATTTCTTCATTAAATGCAAACTACAGCGTTTTGAATGTGGTCATCAAACTGAGGACTTATTAACAAAATTAAAAAATAAAATATCCTAGAAAACAGATCAACGGTTTTTTTTTTAATTTATACTAATCTATAGATAAAAAGCTGCTGCAAGTGTGGCGGACCTTTCTGCGTTGTATTGTCGCGAAATTGCGCTTGCACGAGTGTTTTGTTTACCTTCACTAGGTGTTTACCTTCTCTAAGAGATCGTTCGTCTCCACGGAACGGCTCATGTATTGTACCGGAGTCGGGGCCCCGTATGGGGGCGAACATGGATGCTGTAACGCTACCCTTAGTTCCCAGAACCCCGAGTGGGAGGTGTTTTGATTTATGCATGTCTGCTTTTGGGATCTCTACTTCGGAGGTGGTTTTGCTTAGTGTATAATTTCTCTGCCGTTGTACGAGTTTTGTCTTTTTCTAACTGATCTTTTGAACTTCGTACGAAAGGTGTTTTATCTTGGGTATGTGCTTGGTTTTGTCATGCTAAATTTTGCTTTGCGCTTCGAGCCTTTTGATTGGGGCTAAGGAAACACCTCTTGATTGGTCTTTCCAAAACTTTTTGAGCGGTGAACTGGAGGACCCCAGAAGGCTGCTGGACTCTACTATAAGCGGCCACCGAAGGGCCGTAAGGAACTTGACTCCCAGATACCAAGCCCTGGACATCACCCATCTTCTGGAGGCCAACCTGCACGTCTGACACCCTTTGGCTGTGGAGTCTTCCGCCCGCTAACTCGCAAACTTGGGACCCCTTTGGGCTGTAGAGGAATTCGGCTCGCCCGCCTTTGTGTTGATACTTGTTTGCCGAGTTTGGCTGTGGTCGGGGCACCCGCTGAAGGTGTGTTCGAGGAGGACGGCAGGGGAAGTCGCCAGAGATAGAAGTATTTCCCCCAAAGTGTAGTTTCTGATGTGTGTATTTAACTTTATGTAAGTTCTTTAATAAATCGTTATTTGGACTAACAGAGCCAAGTGTAAAGGCCTCATTTCTACGCCACAGTATCACGGATGTTTTTCTGACTTCACAATATTATTCGTGGTGTATGTATGTCTACAGAGCCGGATGTTATTCAACCTAATGGGTGTCTGGTGTCTCAGCTGTAGACGAGAAATTTCACAATTTCGCCAGGGCAATACAACCGCTAGCCTGGTATTGTTAACATACACCCCACGGTAGTGATACACGACCGCACTCCGGTGCGATGCTCCTCCAAACAAAAACGGGCAGGGGTGGGGATAAAACACAAATCCTTGGGTTCTGGTGCGTAAGCTTCCGCTACACCTGCTCCGAGCTGAGATGAGCAACTCCACTCAGCCGCCAATTTCACGGGTTTTTCTATTAAACAAAAATCGTATAGTCTAAAAACAGCTTGTATAATTAACCTTGTTCCTGATAGATTGATGCGAGATGAACTGAAATAATATGATTCGAACAAAACGATCACCAACTTTTCCAGTATTTCTGATGGAAAAGACTCAAGTCTCAAAATAAGCGCTTCCTGTGTTAAGACGTCAGCCGCTTGTCTTTCACCTTGTTATGAATATTCAGTTTTTCGTCGCTTAACAGATTCCACGTGATGAGTCACAGCACTGGAGAACAACATTATTCAAGTGCAATTTAGTTTTAGCAAAATTATAGCCATTTTCCTTCGTCGAGTGTGGTTAAGGCTGTAATGGAAACACAAAAAACTGGGACGACTAAGAAATCGAAGGTCAACATATGTTGAAACCCGGCGGACTATTCTTATGTTTTCTAAGTCCTGCATAACAGAAACTAAGTTTTTGTCAATTTTTAAAGCGGTCAAACATCCCAAAGTTTCATTGAAAGAAGGTGGTTCTGTTTCTCAAGTATATAATAATTGGATTTAGCCACCTCTGATGTAAATTTAGTTGCGCTGCATGTGGTGTTTGTCGTATGGGGAGCGTCTTTGGCCGCAGTTGCGAACTTTTCTAGGCATGCCATATTTCTCAAGAACGAGTATGACGGTTTTCCATGGTTGACCTAGTTTTTTGCGTTAGGTTTTGAAGCCATATATCCAGTTAATATTTTGAAAAGTATTTAAAATTTTTTTAATGAGAACACCAATAAAATTATGGGTCCAATTTTGAATATTTATTTTGGCCTCTCAATTTGTAAGACAACCATTCCATCAAACAAATTCCTGTGTACAAGTTTTCTTATATCGTTAAGAACGTTATAGCCCATGATAGCCAGATGTAACTACAGAGTTCTAACTTTCATAAAACCTCATCGAAAATACTGCTATCTAAGAAATGTCAAAATTAGTGTTGTAAACAGTGCATTATCAGAAAGGACCAATTAGAAGTGTGTAATAATCTGGCATAACCCAATCTACCACAAGAAAGTCCTCCTAAAATCTCAAATTAAATACTACTGTTTTGAATTGTGTGGTTCCCCAGCTACAAACCAAGAGAAATGCCTAACTTGGCCCAAGTTTGGCAACCTTAGGGGCCCACCTTAGGCTGAATAAGCTAGGCACTAGGCAAGAAAATGTCCTACCTTTGTCTAACTTCGCCAATTTTAAGGGCATAACTTGCGGCTAATAAGGTTTTGCTTCAATCCATTAGTTAAAGTCAGACTACTTTTTTTTCAGATAAATTAGAAAAATTCAAATTCTGGCTTTTTCTGCTTCGTCGCGTATCGGCCGGAAGGCCGGACACGAACCAAAAAAGGCGAGTAAAGATCGAACAACTAGCAATGAACCATAGTTCTAGAATTTGTTTGAGAAGCAAGCCCAATGGGGCCAAGTAAGATCCCAAACAAACAAGCTGTGAAGCCTAAATATGGCATTTTCATTATTTGGGGCCAAAGCTTCCTGTCGAAAACCAAGAGCCAAACATTAAAACCCAACTTTGGCTCTCCTCTGGAAATTTAGGTCGGAGGTACCCAGACTCTGAGCAAATATTATCAAGTTAGGTTATACCTTGCCCTCTTTTCGATCTTTGATTACTAAATTGACTTGCAAAAATAAAATGTCAGTCCAAAACACTGTGTTACTTGGTGGTTTTGTTTTAAAGCGTTAGTTAGGTTCAAAATACTTTTTCCTTGCTCTAAATAACAAGAGAAATGTCGAGTCAGTCGTTTTGATGGTGTGTTACTTGGTGGTTTTGTTTTAAAGCGTTATTTAGGTTCCAAGTACTTTTCTCTTACTCTAAATAACTAGAGAAATGTCGAGTCAGTCTTTTCTCTGGTATGCCACACAACTGTCAAAGCACCGAACATTAGCCAAAGTTCAGGCAATAATCACACAACCAAACAGTGAAGCCGTAAAGACTTACTCGACAATTCCAGGCCAAGATACCCAGGCTCTGACCAAAGAATATCAAGTTTGGTTGTGCATTGCTTTTTCCTGGCACCAAGAACTTATTTTCACAAGAAAAAAAATTCTCCCAAAATATTTCTTTAATTGGGTCACTACCTTTCATTTCGTAGCTACTGATCCAAATTGTTCTAAAACTTTTTTTTGTTTAGGTTTCATCTCCATAATAATGGCGTTCATGTCTACTAAAATGCGTACCTCTATCACAATGCTTCTGAACGCTGTTATGGGTAGTATATCTGACATTATTTACATCACATAAACGTGTTGGCAGATAAATAAAACCAAGATTTATACTGATATTTTACCAGATACTCACCTGGTCCAAGGCTTAAGTCATCGCCATAGAGTGTGTCCCTGAAAAAAAAAAACGTTGCTATTTTCACGTAACAAGATATACCGATAGAACAATAATAACATCTTTCAATATGCTTTTAATATTTACTACGTCTAGAGGCTTGGAACATAGTTAAGATAATACATACCGCTCTTACGTTTCTCGCGTATGCGCAGGAGAGAAAACTACAGCCGTCTAATAAGAGTCTCAGAGCATTTGCACGCACAGAAGTACACGCATACACAACAAAAAAAAGTCCCGGGCCAGTTAATCCCCTCCAAAGCTCTGCAATCACGTCAAATACATTAGCCCCAATCGTCGCAGTACAAAATATTTTCTATTCATATTTTTATATTATATTATTATATTCCAGAGGTTTGAAGGACTACCACCTCCAGATTGACCCGCGTAATATTAGCCAAAACCCCGAACGAGTCTTTTCTAGAAACCGGAGTACCTCGATAAATGTCACGTAGCAGCTGCAAACTTTTTATATTAAGAGCCACTCAAACAGTAAGTGACGTCCGCTTACGTTTTCTTACGTTACTTTTTTAGTCGCCGTGCCATTCATGCCTTGTTTAACACGTGTAAAAGTGCTCATTGAATCGACTGCCACGCTTGATGAATGCCACGAATTTCCCGGTGACTCCCGGTTGCAGCTCGATATAAATAGACAGTAAGCTCCCAATACGCTAGAAAGCATAATTAAAACAGTGCTGTGCGAACTGGCCTTGTTATCTCAATCAATATTCGAAATATCCGAAGCCGAATATTCAGAACGGCTTCACTAAACACTACGAAGTGAGTTCTTATTATATTTATTTCATCTCACGCTCACTCCACCACAGACATCTACATTTCTTTATTAGTGTAGAATTCTTCTCGTGAACTTGTCTTATCTGCGTGTTGGTATCAGCGCGCTCTTTACTTTTGTACGGTTGGACATGTTCCGCGGAGAGTCAATTGCTGTGTCGCAGGGCTCCCTTTATTACTTTGCACTGGGCGGAGCAGAAATAGCCCGAGCCGCGGGACAGTACAGGAGGTTGTAGGTTTTGACGGAAACGCTTAGAAACCAACCACCTATGATTTTGTGACTAGGAGAAGCAAGTTTCTCAGGCGAGAACGTGTTATGAATGTTTAACCGAAACTTCAGTCTAAGTTTATGTACAGAGAAATATTGCATTTTGTGAGCGTGCAAATGGCATATACTACCACCTCTGCCTCCCCGCATTTTTATAAAAACAAAGAAGATGGCGCGAAACGTGATACACCGTTTTTTACAAAATTATATATATTTTCTTTGTAAAGAATACAGATATAAAACTTTAGCGTGTTATCAGCGATGCAGAAAAACACACCATGCCTTGGATTCAGCTCCACTGCCCCTCCGCCACACTTACAACTATGAACGATGAACCAACGAGCCTAAATAGCCAGATTTATACAAACGTAACATTACTCCAAAAACATATTACAAACTCAGTCAAGACGTGATATGAATTAGAACTTTTAATCTGTTTTTCTGCCGCGTTATAGGATTAAATGACATGATGCTTAAGATTTTACATGTTCGTACACCGAAATAATAAATTTTACTTTTATGTCGTATTTCATACCTCCTCAAATTTTGCGAGTTTCTCCTATTAATATCGGTTTATTTGTAACTAACATTAAGAATATTTTGTTTTTCTTTATTTACCGCATTGTCATTATCATTATGTTTTTCCTCCTAAGCAGTACCTCTCTTATTAAGTGAGGGAATTGAAAGATGTTACACTCAAATAAGAAATAAGAATCTCCTCTTTCCTAAGAGCAGGTAACCTCTCAATATAGTCCCCACTGGTGGCGATGCACTTCACCCCCATATACTACCCTCCGCATGCCGTCGTAGATTATTGAAGGTGGCTATCGACGAGACCAACGCCGCACCGGGGAAGCGGGAGTTGCAAGATGTCTTGCCTCGTCCACCTTACAGCCACAGCCTCACGCCATGAGAATCTTGGCTATTTTTAAATGGGGTACACGGATTGAGTCCGACGACGAGGTTACCGATGCAGTGCGACGTTGGTGTCGTCAACAGCCGCCCTCAATCACCTACGACGGCATGCAGAGAGTAGTGCACCGATAGCGGAAATGCATCCCCGCCAGTGGGCACCAAACTGGAAAGTTATGTGCTCCTGGGGAGAAAATAATCTAAATTTTCATTTGAATATAACACCTTTCAATTCCATGACTGAATAAACAATTTACAGCCTAGGAGGCGAAACTTGTTGATCACCCCTTATCATTACAGGGTGATTAAAGGAGAGGCCAGGCTCTTGAAATCGACCGCAAAATTCGGTTTCTTGACCTATCGCGCCACGACTTTGTGCAGCGTTGCCCACAGATGGTGCATTTTTCTTCTAAAATTTGCAAACAGCGAACTTACCGGAGGGAAAAGTAAAGAAAGAAAAAGGCTTAGTTTCTATAGAAACGCAGCGACGCCACCGGTCTTCAAACAACACAGCACCGTTTCGCACGGGAGACAACACATGGCGCAACGAATGCCGCCAACGAACGAGCATACGGCACCGAGAGCCGGCGTCTTTACCAGACGGTCTTTTCGACTCAAAAGCGGCGCGCGTTCCGCAGGCGGCGACAGTCGCAGAAACAAAAACAGGCGCGGTAACAAGAAACTGCAGTTCCATGTCTGCTAAAGACGCCGGCTCTCGGCGTCGTATGCTCGTTCGTTGGCGGCAGTTCGCGTCGCGACCGCTTGCGCCATCTCTCGTCTCCCGTGCGAAACGGCACCGTGTTGTTTGAAGACCGGTGGCTTCGCTGGGTTTCCATAGGAGCTAAGATTTTTTTCTTTTTTTTACTTTTTCCTGTGGTAAGTTCGCTCTTTGCAAATTTTACAAAAAAAATATATATACACCATCTGTGGGCAACGCTGCACAAAGCCGTAGCGCGTTAGGCTAACAAACCAAATTTTGCGGTCGATTTAAAGAGCCTGGCCTCTCCTTGAATCACCCTGTAGATCGAATAAAATAAAGATTAAGAATTTTATAACAAGTTTTTCGCAGAAAGGTGCGTAATCAGGGACAGAAAAAAAAAAGTGCGAATCTAATTAATCGGTCAGAAGTTAGCAAAATTGTCTTCACGTCTTTTTTTTTTAATATGTATTCTACCGATGTCATATTTTAATGGCATCAATAAAACGTCTGATTCGAATGCTCTACTCACCTTGTAAGAAGACATCGAATGTCAGGATTGTAGCTCTGAGTAAAATATCTTTGGATATAATTTACAACCGTATCAGCGTGCATATATCCGTTTGTCGTCCACGTCCTAATTTGCCTCAGAACTTCATCACGAGGCTAAACAAAAAAATGAAAGATATCGTTAAGCACATATATATTAAAACCGCCGTATCTGTGGCGTATGAAAAAAAAAAACAGTTTGGTATTTTTATATAGCACACTTACGATATTGACGTCTGAAATTTCAAGTGTTATGTTCATGCCCAAATTCTTCTTCAACTTGGCTTCGGCCTGCACAGAAATGTATAACTCAATAGGTTAACTAATATTTAAACAAATATAGAATAATTAATAAATAACGTTTTAATGTTTAAGCTTGCTAATTTGTCATGCATCATATCTTGAACCAACAGAGCATATATATATATATATATATAGTGGGCATGGTGGCATAAGAGCCAAGTGGCCGAAGGCGTATATATAACGAAGTGAAGAACTCACGGTGAAAAACAGCAAACAGCGGAAGTTTAATCGACAGTTTCGCCGAGAGACTCGGCTTCGTCAGGAGATGTTCATGCCATCTCCTGGCGAAGCCGAGTCTCTCGGCGAAACTGTCCATTAAACTTCCGCTGTTTGCTGTTTTTCACCGTGAGTTTTTCACTTCGTTATATATATATCATCATGAAAAACGCCAACCAGGAACCAACAGGATGGGGCGACACCCCGCCAACTATCAGAATCCCCGATGCGGCCGACATGGGAAGCCATGCTTCGCCCAACACGGTGCACTGTGGCACACAGCCAACATCCACCGTGCCAAGGACGCCACAGTCGTTCGATGTCAACTTGCGACAGCGGAAGAGCTTCTTGAGAGATGACCACACGCCCCAGCGGTGCAACCCAACTTCCTCAAGACAATATGGCACCCGCCCCGAAAACCAAGACGCCCCGCATCTGCGCCCTAGCGTTCCGGTGCAGAGCTCCGTAGAGCACCCCCATTACCCCCCGACTGCCGACGGGTACCCGACGCTCGCCGAGACTATGACACCCCAGCCACCCCTACGACAAAGAAGCGCTACGAGACAGTACAACCTCCTCAGGGCAGCTGCGCCAAGTCCCCGCCCAAAGGAAGATTGACCACGAATCGGTGAGTCCAGTTCCCCCACTCAGAATTACAGTGCCTTATTTCTAAAACTACGAAAGTTATCCGATAAACGAATCAGGCACGAGCTTCATCAATCAACGCTGCAGGTGTACCTAAAGGCAGGAATCACACCAAAAGGATTAACGCTCTCCCTCCCTCCCGCTACGACAAACCTTGATCAACACGATCGTGCGGCTTGGCAAAACGTTCTCCTGGAGGCCTCTCTTAAACTACTACGAATTTCTATCAATCATAGCGAAAAACAGATAAAACAATTAACTGCTACTACCACCGCCCTTCTCCGCTCGAATGACCCCCTGTCGACAGAGGAAATAACAACCTTAAAGGCTTTTGAGGAAATGAAGTACCGAAGTATCCTAACCACCAAACTACGTAAGCTCGAACGAGACAAGGTTCCCAACCCCACACTACCTGCGCTGACTCCATATAATTATAGTGCCAATATTCAACCGCCCATACAGCAAACAGCTGATGAACAAAACATCACCGAACCTTGTGACACCGCAATTGTTAACTTATCTGAAATTACCTTATCATCTCACGAGGAAAAATTGCTCTCAAAAGGGCTAAACTTTTGCCCAGCAACAGGCTTCTTTGACGAATTCCAGTTACTCCGAGACCTTGATAATTTTGCAAGAAATTTAAGATTGCGGGAATACTTCTTAGGCAGGCCTTCAAACTCTGAGAACACGCAACAACGTCCAAAGAGCAATTGGACGCCGACACCTCATCGCAATGGCTGCCTCGATCTTTACATAGCCGCTGTACAAAGAGACATAATGCGGGAATACCATAAACGGAAGGGAAAACGGTACAACTTAACAAAATCGGAAAGGGATTGCCTGAAAACTCTGGGAACCAGGACCGATGTAACGATAAAGCGAGCTGATAAAGGGGGAGCAATTGTGATCCTCAACACTGTCGACGACACTCGAGAAGGATACCGCCAACTTAATGATCCAAAATTTTATGAGCGTCTTAAGGGGGATCCAACGATTCAATACCCACGGATTGTAACGTCAAAACTGAAAGATCTTTTGAACACAGGAAACATAACCATTAACGAACATAATGTGATGAAACCACTAAATCCAAGACCAGGTCGCTTCTACATGCTTCCTAAAATTCATAAAACTGGTAACCCAGGGCGCCCAATTATATCAGGCATAGGCACAATAACCGAACCTATCTCCGGCTTCATAGACAAATTAATAAGCAATATTCCTACAACTCTCGATTCGTATGTCAAAGACACCACTCAGTTTCTAGGAGAAATCTCGGCTATGTGCGTGCCTAAAGGAGCATATCTGGTCACTCTTGATGTTTCTTCCCTATAGACAAACATTCCCCACGATGACGGAATAGCTGCTTTAATTGACATGTACGAACTTCATAAGAAACCAGATACCCCGGATTGTCACGTCATTTCCTGTTTAACGAGGCTGGTCTTAGAACTTAATGCATTTGAATTTAATAATGAATATTTTAGGCACGTCAGCGGAACCGCTATGGGCACTAAAATGGCCCCCAGTTATGCCAACTTATTTATGGGAAAGCTAGAGTCCAAATTTCTTTCTGAATTCTCCCTAACGCCAACTTTCTACAAGAGATACATAGACGACATCTTTCTTATTTGGGCACACAGCGAGGAGGAACTGCTGGATTTCATAGGCTGTTACAATTCTGTACACCCGAACATTAACTTCACTTACGCCTACTCTCAAACGGATATTAACTTTTTAGATGTAACTGTAAAAATTGAAAATGGTGAACTCTCCACAAATCTCTACCGTAAACCGACAGATCGACATTATCTTCATTACCAGAGCGACCACCCCCGCCATTGTAAAAACAGCGTCCCCTACAGCCAAGCCCACCGTTTCAAACGAATTTGCACGAAAGAGGAAGATTTTGATGCGAGCGCCCAGAACCTAAAGACAATGCTGGGGAAACAAAAATATCCATTACGTGTAATTGACGACGCAATTCAAAAAGCTAAACAATTGAACCGCGAGGACTTAATTGCGAACCGGCCCCCCAAACCCGACCTACAACGCACGAATCTATGCCTAACTTACAGCACAAACTTTCCTAATGTAAACGGTATACTGAGACGGCACTATAATATTCTAAAACAAAGCGAACGTCTTAAACGTGCGTTTCCGTCCGGCCCCGGTGTGGTCTACAGACGATCACGTAACCTAAGAGACTCAATTGTAAACTCTCAGCTGAATTCGTCATTGTCAAATGACGAATGCAAGCCGTGCAAGAAACCGGGATGTCTCGTCTGCAAACAAATGCAACATACTAGCACCGCTAGCAGCACACAATCGAAATTCTGCTTAAAAATTCGAGGGAACCTGACGTGTGACTCTTCAAATGTGGTTTATTTGCTTAAGTGCACTGTCTGCAAAATGCAATATATAGGGCAAACGAAGAGAGCATTCAGGGAACGCTTTAATAATCTCAAATCTCATTCAAAATCGCTCCCAAGCCTACCTCTTTCAAAACGCATTAGCATCCCACATCATTCGTTCGGGAAACTTTCGGTAACGATCCTTGAAACCGGATTTAAGTCAGACCGCGAACGGGAGCAGCGCGAATCGTATCTCATATACCGATTCAACACGATCGATAAAGGAATAAATGAAAATCCAGGGACACTTGCAGCGATTAAAACGTTGTCTAAGAATTAACAGGGATCACCATTCTCACCCTGACCAAGTGGCACTGTATTGGCTGGTGGAATTGGACTATTATTTTGTTTGTGTGTGTGTGTTTGTACGAAACAGCGAGCCTTCCACACGCGCTTCTGTGCACATTGCGTCCTTTTTCGTTGGTCTACCCACTCATATGCGAGATCCGCTAATATTCAATTTTCATTTCTTTTCATCGAAAGGCGAAGGAAACCTGCGCCTTCCGCGCTATGCTGTCCTGCTGCACACAATGTTACTCGGTCTTGACCCGAGGCATGCGTACTTATTTGTATTTATTTTAAGTCTTACTTTAATGTTGTATCTCTTAAATTTGTATTTTTAATTCTCTGTCCGGTACGACGACGGCTTTCCAACTATCCGGGGGTATTCGCCCCACCCTCCCCTGCGTCCCCCCTGCCCCGCGATCTGCTCCTTGCTCCCCTCTCCCCTCTCTTCCGCGGCGTGCGGCGCCCGAGAGGACGAGGGGTGACCGTCGCGGAGACGGACGCCCACATCGGCTTAGCCTTACGGACAATTAGTACCGAAGATGTCGTTCCAGAGCCAGTGCCGTCCGTTTATGACCTATTGTACCCACCGCAGTGTCGGAGATTTCATATACGCCTCCTTAGCTTTGAAACCCGCCGCCCTAACGTGGGAACGCGCTCAAATACAACTTTTTTTTATGTTTTTTTACTTTTATTTTTCGTGACGTCACGTCCTCCTCGCCCCATTCGCCCCTTACTGCTTTGCACAGTCTGAAGCCCTCACATATATGCCATCTCCTGACGAAGCCGAGCCTCTCGGCGAAACTGTCGAAATACATGCAATAAACTCCTAGCATAGCAACTCCGCAAGTACGGATCTCTGACTTATTACAATTTCCCGGTCCATTGTTCTCAAGCTAGTCTGCCTCACCTATATATATATATATATATATATATATATATATATATATATATATATATATAGTATTCCACGTAACTCGATCCAAGTTTTAAAATGATTATGGTGCGTCTTAGGGGTACGAAATCAAAGAAATAAGCATGTTCATTGTTTAGAGTAAGTCAGGCTATTCCGTGTAGTCTGCCCAATTAACTAACTAATTAAGACCACTTCATGAACTTTTCAAATATTCAATTTAGAGCAAATGATTCAGTGGCAAAGTTGTAAAGCGTCCTCAGAAACATTCAATTCAGTGGTTTATATCAAGAAACCACTAACACTTTATTTTTCAGGACTTCAAAAAAGAGCTAGCAAATTATGAAAATAATGCAAAAAAGTGAATATTTCAACAGCACCCTATCAACAGTATTCTATTCAACATACGGGTCTAGTTTATTCAAGCCACGGCTGAGAGCACTGCAATACAAGACTCTCAAAAGCAAAGTCAAATTTTTTTTTTTTTTCTATTATGCGCGATTTTTTAATGC